AGCTTTGGTCGCACGTATGTGCAGCAATGACTTGGCAGAGCTCTCAGTGGTTGTGTTCAGGTTCAGCACTTTGAGGAAGAACACTTTGTTTGTAGCAACTTGAACGCTTTGCACTATTGTTGACCCCCAAAATGGTAAAAAAAAAAAGCTAAATTGTAAACAAAATCACATCCCCCCCCCCCAAAGTTATAATGAAGTAGATGGTGTTTAAGAAAAAAAACAGAGCTGGGGGAACCCCTACTGTTTTACTTTGAGAATACCCATTTCTCCTGTCTATGTGATATAACCACTGCTTTCCTGAGAAGCCATCTATGACTCTTACGTTGAAAAGGCACGGCACTGCATCCTTTAACAGAAGAACCTCAAGATCTTCTGCAAAGCATGTGTGAACTGGCCACTCCCCAAATTTAAGCGAAGGAACACAGTTTCAGTGATACGTACCTGATCTTTTTGGTCTTCTCTTCCAGGGCACAGCTTCTGTCCTTCAGCGTAGGTCTGACAAAGAGGAATATGTAGAAGTTGGGCGCCTGGGGCCATCCGATTACTTTGGTAAGCTCCATTGAATGTAATGTTTCAGAAACACAAGAAAATATTGGCTTCAATATTTATGGAAGAAGTGGATCTCTCAGTGCATGGCATTCTTCATAGATGGGAATCACAAATACGCCATCAGTGATTACTGGAATTCTAGAACAGCATGTCATTTGTTGGGTAGATCGAAGTGTCTCCTAATCTCCCCTTGGATGCAGAGAGCTTTCATCCCTCTTCCCAAGTAGTTAAGGGAGGTGGGGGTTATGGATGTGTCATACAACCATGCCAGCTGGGAATTATGGGAAATTTTATCCACTGCATCTGCAGAACCCCATATTAGTGTTAGATATAAAGGGTAAAGTATAGTGTAAAGATTTTAGACAGTGTATAGGATGGTGTTGGATAGGCACTCTTTTACCTCCCATGATGTCCCCTAAGTAGAATATGATCAGACTCAGTGTTAGTAAAGAAACAGTGAATAGCTCAGAGGAAAAGCTGGGGAGAAGACCTTATCATGGATTACAGAGAAGAATAAGAGTAGTGGATCAAAGAGGGAAAGGGAATAAATGATCACTTCATGATATGGGATTCTTCCAGTCCAGAATTATTCCACTATTTCTTCCCTTAGCAGATTTGAGTGAAGATGATGGTGATGCCTGGATTTCTTGTTCAATTTGCCAAATTGGGCAGAATAATTGCACAATAAATTCCTGGTCTGGAAATATCTAATGATATTAACTGAGATCAAAGCCAAAGGGATGTTCTCTAGATGTATGGTGATGATGCTACATTTCTTCCCACTTCCAGGGGAAATCGCCCTGTTGCTGAACAGGCCCAGGGCTGCTACTGTGGTGGCCCGCGGGCCCTTGAAGTGTGTTAAGCTGGACCGCCCGCGTTTTGAACGAGTCCTTGGCCCTTGCTCAGAAATCCTCAAGAGGAACATCCAGAGATACAACAGTTTCATCTCTCTCACTGTCTAAAGTCCTCTTTGGCTCTTCTTTTATGTTAAAACTTGTGCACTAAAAAAAAAAAGCGATCTGTGCTGTTTCATAGCTTTATGAAGAAAAGGAGAGGCACATTCATTTTACGCAGGTGTTTTTAAGTGTTCATATCCATTAGATATTCAATCACTGTATGTTGTTAAGGGGACAGCAGATAGCTGGATGTCAGTGATTTTAGGGAATCTTAGATATTTTTTTTGCACTTTAAGTTACATTCCAGATTTGTGTGTCCCCGGCTTCTCCAAATCTCTCATCACGCAATACAAAATCTCCAAATCTTTAACTGTCCAATGGAGAACCAGCTTGGTGTGTGCCTCAACTTTTATTTCACCTGATTGTGCTGACAAGCCAACTCCATTCTTATTTTCTCTGGAGAATTTCTAACATCTTAGGATGTTCCTTTTTAAACGCCTCATCTAGTGAAGACTACATAGCCCATTTTATAAAAGGGGGATTGATGGACACATGGAGCCACAAAGCAGTGCAGCAATGGCCCATTAAGACTTCCAGACATTGTACTAAATACTGATTTTGAATGCGACCCAAGGTAAAAACGATTAAATACTCAACTGGAGAGGAAAAAATCCTCTCTCTCCTATCTGTTGAGTTTTAACTCAAAATAAATACAACAATTTTGTTTTTGTCTTGGCATACAGGCTGTTTAAAGTCTGTTTAAAAGCAAAGGGTGGCCTTTGGCCTGGAAGGAATTCTGCAGCCCTGTTCTGGCATCAGGTCATAAGTCCTCCATCTGGTTGACAATGACTAGAATGAACATACACCATCCTATTCAACTAGCACCAAATCAGGTCCCCCCCGCCCCCCATGGAACCATCTACTTTTGGGAGTGCCCATTAGTGTAAAACAGTGTTTTTCCAACTTGGCACCTTTAAGATGTATGGACTGCAGCTCCATGGTGGCTGAGGAATTTTGGGAGTTGAAGTCCACACATGCTGTCTGGAGAATTCTGGGAGTTGAAGTTAAAGTTGCCAACTTTGAAAAACACTGGTATACATCAGTCCATCCATCCATCCATCCATCCATCCATCCATCCATCCATCCACACACACATAATGTAAAGTCTATTTCCTGTAAAATGTGTTAATATTCTGTCCTCTCTGTATTTTTCTTTAAAGAAAGCCTTTGTTTGCAGTTAATGTTTACTTATCCCTTTTATTTTGCTTATTATATTGTTGTGATGCATGGGTAAAACAAAATCATTGTGACTGGAGAAATATGTAGTCAGTCTTTGATCACTGCCATAAGGTTGAGGCCATCAGCCTCAGAGTCTAGTTTTACAGATATAAAAAGACTTCCACAAAGATGAAAGGAAGGGGTGCCATTGAAATTGGTAGAGCTCAAGGATAAGTTGCAAAATAAACAGAGAATTGATTCAAGCACTCCTTCCCAGCTCCTACTGCATTGGGACTGCAGTTTCCAAATTTTTCAGCTCACGTGGCCAAGGATATGTAGTCACAGAACACCTAGAGGGTGCCAGATGATGGAAAACAGGAAGAGACATCCATGTTGATGTCAAGGTCCTTGAATTGGCTGAACAAGGATTGTCCTTCAGATCAAGGGAACTACAATTTTCCAAGGAAAGTAATTGTTCAACTCTATTCTGCATTGTCTCTATCCTTTCAAATTCTTTGTCCAGTTCTGCATAACCACCCTCCAAAAAAAAAAAAAAAAGTTAAGAGAACCTGGAATAGGTTCGGAGAAGGGAACCATAGATGATCAGGGGACAAGAAACAGTTTGACAAGGAGAGGGTGAGGGAACTGGATTGGTTTTCCCTTGAGAAAAGATAATGAGAGGCAGATGGTAGTATTTTTTAAGGACACAGGAGAAGGTCTACTCTTCTCTGTCACCCCAGAGCATGGAACATGGAATAATGGATTAAATTGAGAGGAAATCCAGTTCCCAGTTGAATATTAGAAGAAACTTCCTTCTAGTTCAAGAGTGGAACCAGTTACCAAGATATCTGTTGAGTACTCCTTTGCTGGATATGTTGGACTTTAATTGGCACAGTGTAGGGAGTAGGATTTGTGGGTCTCAGTGGCTCTTTCCAGACCTATTAGTACAGGTGGGGCATTGTCTTTTGAACATTTGGAATGCATTCTTGGTTGAAAACTTCAGTATTATTCACTTCAGTGTGACTTGGGCATGCCTAATCTTTGTGGGTTGCATCCATTCTTTGGCCAAAATGACCTTGCAATTGTCATGATAACTCTTCTGATGGGGTGGGTGTGGGGGAAGAGGCCATTGGAAATGAAACAGACAGCACTCTCTTGTATTTTTAAGTTGACTGATTGGGACAGAATGGGGACATGAATAAAATCCCTGGAACTTAAGAAGTACTCATGAGTTTATTCAAATCAAGAAATGTCCATTAAGGGATTTGGGCAGTTAGTGAGACAGATGCTTCATTCACATGGACAAAGATGAGTTTGGAAATTTGAGTCCTCATTCGCATTTCTATGGAGTTTAATCCAAGACACAATCAAGGGAATGAATTCCATGTTGGTGGTTGGTACAGAAAATAGAAAAGTGCCATTTTAATTCTGCAGCCAACCCCTCTATGTCTGTTTGCTCAGAAGGAACTCTGGCATAATTGTCTGGAGGAATAAAGCTCCAGATATATTACTCAACTGAGAAATGTTTGTAGGGTGCAATCTTTTAAAATCCTTCACCAGTCTGCTTTATTAAGAATTCATTTGGCTCACCTATAAAAGTTGGAAGAACTGGTCAACCATGGATGGAGCAAGTGTTTAACGTCTTTAGAGTTTGCACTCAACCAAGCTGGTCTATTTGCACTTCTGAGGCAGCAGGTAAATGTAGAAGTGTACCAAGGCTGTGTGGAGAGTTTCCATGCTTAAACAGCACACTAAAAGAAGTTCAAAAGCATTACACCATTTAAAAAAAATTTTTAAACAAGGACATGGGGTGAAATCTTTCAGGCTGAGAACACTGGAGATTTCTGGGTGGGGAAGGCTTCTAAACAATTGTGTGTAATAGGAATGAATCCCACAATTTGTGGATTGTTTCCTGGCATGCATATATATATATATATATACACACACACACACACATACATACACATACATACACACACACACATATACATATATATATATATATACATACATACATACACATACACACACATATACATATACATACATACATACATACCACTTTTTTCAGAGATGGGATGTTTGATTTCAAGGGCTGGCAAGCAAATGCTTTAGCATTACTCCCCAAATCTGCCCAGGCAATGGTTAATATCATTCTATTTAATGGTAGGACTGGCTCAGTTGTTAGGAAAAATGGAATGTGAGTTCCAGTATTGACTGGTCCCCAATCCCCCCTAATTATTTTGCACTCCCATGGCACTGTAAGGAAGGAAACACAACCGTAGTGCAAATTCAAAAACTAGGATTGTTCATATGCCCTCTCCGAAATCCAGGTTCAGAAATAATATGGGCAAGAGTTAAGAGCTCATCATATTCTTCTCTTTGGGATATGAACTGAGCAGTTTGGTCAACTCTTATTCTCCTCTGCCTCAGATTTTTACCCAAGTGAGAAGAATTCAATTCTTTTCCTCTAGCCTTTTCTCCCTCATTCCCTAACAGCCAAGGCAGAAGAATGAAATCTTCCTTCATGGAACTTCGTTTGATTCTCCAAAACACAAAGGTCACTGATGTGCACCGTATGGACAACATGGCCTCCTTGTTAGGGAGCAACAAACAAAAATAGTGGTTGTATTCATGGAATGCTTCTGAACTTCTGAAAATCATCTTTGTAGGCAGCAGCAGACTTCAGCAAATGGACCTTCTATCAGATCACACACAGTTCTTCTTTTCTTAAGGGTGTTATTTCGGTGGGGGTTCCCCATCTGCCTATCAGCTGAAATACCGTCCCAATTTGCATAGTACTTTTCTCCATTCCAGTCAATATAGTAATGGAAGGTGAACTAGGATGAAGTGGGTGACTCAAGTAAGAGTCAAGTAAGTGGACTCACGTGATCCCACTGCAGTGCTAACTTATTATTATTTTGCAAAAATAGGTCAGTGCTTTTCCTCTGTGCTTAAGGAGCCTGGGAACTTTCTGGCCAGTTAGTTGGGTTGGGTGAACAGCAAATGGAATTCTAGCTGAACCTGGCCATGAATCAAAGTGGCTTCTTCTCAAGAGCCCTGAGGAGGAGGTTCTCTTGGTTTTTCAATTCAGGAAAAGACAATGTCTTTGCTAGGAGCACACTCAACCTTGTGTTTCCTTTTTTGGTCAAGACTGAAAGAGCCGGTTCCGGGAACTGAGCCATTGCGTTGGGTGAGGGAAGACCCTTTTGAGAAATGGGGGATGGATGATTGTGATGAGGCCAATGCGTTATTCACTAGGCACAAGGCATACACCTGCCAGGCTCTGAAGATGTGGAATAATTACACTGGTGGGAAGAAAGAGCTGCCACCCACCTCCCAACCTTGGTGGCTTGGCCAGACAGTGGTGAAAGTCAGGGGGAAAAAGACCTATTTATATGCAAACTTTGGTTTCTCAAGAAGAATGCTACTTCTCCGGAGCAGATCGTAATCCCAAAATATCGGTAGCAATGGTATCAATATTAATTGCATCTACTTGCAACCTGAAAAGGATGCCAAAAGCTTCATGTATGTATTTTCAATTATATTTAATAAAAGTCCAGGTTGCGACGTCCCCTTTGGCAGGTGGGTAACCAGAGTCTGAGAAAAAGGTTTGCTGTAGGACTTTCCTCTGGGGCTCCTTAAGAAATAAAAGTAAATTTCAATCCTTCCCATGTCTTCTTTGGGTAAGGAATGGCATGATTCAACAAGAAGTCAATTCATATGCTTGCTGCTTGCCAAACAGATTATAATAAGATTAGCTAGATTTTCTGCATCAGAAACTCGGTGGTATTGATTTTCAGGCATTAACAACAAATTCTGCTTTTCTTCCCTTGTATATCAATAGTTGCCATTGGCTATAAAGAAATTAATCCAAAGTTCTTCTCTTTGAAATTCCATAGGACCTATGGCAAAGGTGTTTGAAAGGAGAACTTTGGTTATAATACCTAAACCCACAATTTCATATCAGCTCAGAGAACCTTACAGAACGTTCCTCCACAAAGAACTTCTTCATGCAGATCCTACAATATTGTCATTCCCTTCCTTTAGATGTAGCTCTTCTTTCCACACGTTTATGCAAGTCCTGAAGTTCCTCTCCAACAAGGATGCCTTTCAAGTGTGTAGTAATTTGCAGTGGGAGAGCCAGTTGGGTGTCACGGTTAAGGCACCAGGCTAGAAACCAGGAGACCATGAGTTCTAGTCCCACCTAGGCCCAAAGCCAGCTGGGTCATGTTGGGCCAGTCGCTTTCTGTCAGCCCTAGGAGGAAGGCAAAGGCAAATCACTTCTGAAAAACCTTGCCAAGAAAACAGTCTCCAAAAATTGGACATGATTTTTTTTTAAAATTGCATTTGAGATCAACTTTTCAAGGGAGTCTTCTTGGGGTAAAGGAGAAGCAAGATAGTTCTCCCTGCTTCACCTTCTCTTTGGAGGGCTGACATACATTTCTCCCCATGTCTGGAGCCTGAAGACCATTCCCTCCAGGAGATCCATGTGTTCTCACCTGGAATGACATTGCCTGCTCCCCCATCTACCTGGACTCAGAAGCTCCAGGGAGGTGGCGCTGGACCTCCAAAAGTGGAGATCTCTCTCAAATTGCCGAGAGGAAATCCAAAAGCCTGAAGGTCCTGTGACACCCTTTCAGGGACCATAGGATGCCAACTTTAAAAGCCTTTAAATAAATGCCAATAAACAGATAGAATGATAAGCAAATTGCACCTGCAGGGTTCTCTCCTGTAATCCATTTACCTGTGAGGAACTCCCACTGAACATGTCTGAGTAGTTCTACACCAATACAAATACA